GTTTTCGGAAGTCAAGCATCGCATATTAATCAAAGAGCGGCTTTTCTAGAGCGCGTCGTGAATTCTGTTAGGGCAACAGCCACAAGGACAAATGCATTATATCCGCTACAACACAAACCATTTTAACTTTGCGAAGTAGAGTAGTACCCATCATGTCATCATTTGCCGTACCGCGCAGAAGCTACGAAATGAAAAGACGTTTGTATTGCATTATGCGAATGTTATTCATGCGGTGGTGGCGGCGAAGTACATATGAGCCTTATCATAATGTGTGAAAGGCTTGATACCACATACTCGTTTAGGTAGTTTGCATTGTGTGACGCTTGGAGTTATTTTACGTTACTCTTCCACTATGCTATATTACATCTGGTAATCTGATGTCATGCCCGAGATTACACAAATAATCAGTCTTTTTTTAAGCACTTACAAGCACCGGCAAGGTTTCACGGTTAATGCTCTTCTGCCACGATTAGCACGTGGGTTCAAATCCTGTCCAAACCTTGGTACCTTATTTTTTTCTTTCCGTGCAGGCGGTTATAGACAGTGGCGGCGACTGTGGTGGCGGTGGACAACTACGACACCAAAATGGACTTCTGATGTGATGTAGCAGCATCTTCGACGTAAAAATAAAGCATGGCATGTCGGTTATTTAGTCACAAAACCACGTTCCGTTGCATCTTCAGGCGGGGTGTGTTGTGGCAGGTTACTGTCAAGGCTATTGGGTGTCCACACGGAATTGCTCGTAAATTTTTCTGGCCTCGAATTATTCATGGGCAAAGTTAATAAACGATTAAGATTTCATGAGTACTAACGTGAGTGGTTTAAACAAAAAAAGTACCCGCTATTTTTATGGTTACTTATCTTTAATGTAGGTGTCTCACAAACACACAAACGCAGACCTAAGGGCTGAAATAACTTTTAGTAACCTCTCACATGGTATAGATGGGATATGATTGTATTACATTAGCACGCGGTGATGGTTATATATAACATTGTTTGTGGTAATAAGCTTGTTTCGTTTCAGTTTTTGCGGATAGACTGTTTTCTATTTTTTATAAAGGCGTAATAAAGAGCGAATGTTAACTACTATGACTGTGGAAGCTTTACACTTGCGTCACTCGATTGCAAAGAAGAACGTCAGGAAACTTTGCGTGCAACGACTTCAGCTCGACAGATGCTATAGCTGCACACAAGAAGACGAAGAAATACATGAATAATTGGCATCTTCTTCTGCTCTTCTCGTCAGTATTTAGTAGCAAAAAATGCGGGATTCTTAGGCAAGCATGTGAAGATCAATACCTTCAATCGCACAGAATTCACTTCATAAAAGTTATCACAAAAAGTGCAGAAAGCAGAAGGATATCGCCGACTCTGTAATCAGTTATCAGGGAGGTATTCTTCCGGTGGCACTACATGGGTAAATGGGAATGCTTGGTGTTCAGAGCATTCAAAAAATTTTTTAAAAAATCTGGAAGCTCGGAAAGTTGTTACATTTACTCACTGTCTGTGAGACCTGCAAATTTTTAGTATACATAGAATAATGGCCTTTCAAATTGTTGATTATGCACCTATGTTACTGAGAGGATATCTACAGGTATAATTAAGTGTTTTGGCGTCAAGTATGCTCCAGTATTATAACAAGTAATATCGGCATTAACAGAAATTGATCCTCAAATTTTCATATTCAAGATATTGTGGCTAAATAAACGCCATTGGTACTCACTGAAAAATTCTTTCCGTCAGTATTCACTAAGAGTCTTCGTGTGAATCCTGTAGAACTGCTAACTGGTTCACTATCTTCTATTGAAGTGCGATTCCTCTTTCTCATGTATTTGGGATATCACTTTACGGAAGATTTGGCCTTTGTTCTTAGCGAGCAACCTAGTGGTCAGTCATTTCTATTGTCATCTCAAAAGTTTCTAATGGGGTGAGACAATGCATACAAAAAACCTTATTTGTTACACTTGTTTTTCAATTACATTCATTTTGACAATAAGATAGGGAATTTTTAGAGAAGTGACGTAAAACACAATGTTTTCAAGCAACAACCTGCCAAATGCTTCAGAGGATAATTGAAGGGTTTAGGGGAATGCAATGCTGAAAGAAGCAGAATGGGTGCTAGAACTTTATAAGCGGCAGTGTCGGCTAATCCAAGCTGTGGCAAAATTACTTTTTTTTAGTTTTCTGTGACTATTACGCGCTTTTCGCCATGGAACTGGGGAACATGGTAAAGCAGTGCCGTTCCTGACGGGCCTGAACCTCTTGTCGACTTGACGCCATACCTGCGTTTGGCAACTGCAAAGAAACTTTATAAAATGGAGAATTTTACCTAGTTGGTATCCATCATTCCCAAAGACGCCTAACTGAAACAAAACTCTTGCACAACAAAAACGAAAACGTATGTGTAAAGAAACAACTTCATGTGTAATCAACTAAGGAACAGCACTATGCATGATCGCCCGTGCCGTCGGTCTGCACGTCCGTCCATGCATCTGTTCGTTCGTCCATCCGTCCACGCGCCCATCCATCCATGCATGCATACATCTGTCCATGCGCCATCTGTCCGTTCGTCCATTCATGCGTCCATCCTACCATCCGTGCATCCGCCCACCTCAGCGTCGGTCCGTACAAACGTCCATCTGCCCGTCCATCTGCTGATCTGGCTGTCTTTTATACTAGTTAGCGATTTCAACGTAGACATAAGGGGTATTACGGCCTATAGCGGCTGTCACTCGTAGTCAATCACTACATCTACTAATTTTCACATTGCTGTATTATTAAAATTACCAAAGTGTGTTTGCACCGTTACTTGATTGTTATAAACTTTCCATCACTTTTAGTGCATTGCGCTAAACTAGAGATTGTCTTAACCCGACGTAACGGCTGTGCCGTAAATAAATATAGGGTTTGTAGCATTTTATATCTATCATTGTATCCAGAATTGACGCTTCACGAGCATTATGGTTTATTTGAAAAGCAGTTTTGAAACCTGGTGCAACTATGCGTTAGAATATTTAGATGCCATGCAGAATCCTCGGGTTCGATTCCTGCTGGGACGATTTTTTCCCCTTACATTTGTCGGGTCAATGCAACCGATGTGAGCTTTTTTTCTTAACGCTGATGCACTAAATTACCCATGTGTGTTCTCACCACTCCTGGGTAGATATGAAGCGTCACTCACTTGTGGCACATGCCCACATGCCGATGACACATATCCGACCGCCGGTTTGTGCCACTGCTAGGCGGAAAGTATTTCATGACAACCGCAAGAGGACCTCGACATTATTCATGTCATGACCAGAAAGAAGTATTCGTCAAACCACGTGACCCTTTCACACTAGTTCTAGTTTACCCCGAGTTAAGGGGGTGATCGTGAGAGCACCCAGATGTGAGCGGCTATACAGATACATTGATTGATAAATAAATACGTTGATAGAAGCCGAAATTGCTTGTAGTAGGCAAGAAAATTTTTCGCATTTGAAATCCAGGCACACAAAGATTTCAAGAAAGCTTAGTTATTTCAGGCGTTAAGCCTGAGAACGTAGCATCTATTTAAAGAACCAGCTTCTTGCGAGGCACACAGTTTATCGTTAAGTTGGGAGGGCTTATAAAAACGTACTGAGCAGAAGGTAGTGTGTTTGCAAGCTTCAATTGCCTGTTTTTTCTTTGTTAAATATATTTAAATATTAAGTGTCTTTTGTTTTGTGTACACTCAAAAAGAAGGTTATATTTAACCATTTGACCACCTTTTGCACATGATTAGTTTCACATATCTTAGCTGCTTTACTTTTCTATCATTTCAGCGTACAGCTTTTTGCAATAGGAATTGTAACACGATTCGAACGTAACGTGTTTCTTACACTTGGGTGAAAAGTGTATTGGTGAACCAACTAGCCCAACAACATTCCATACTTATAACAGAGACTCCCTATATGTATTTCATTGTGCGAAAGAAGCATTGTGCATACGCCACCACATCAATATTTTCATGACCTGAAAACCTAATTTCTATTTTTCTTGATGTTTTAAATAATTTCTTGAGCTTGTTGGAGTAATGCTTCTCTTTGTAGTAACTTCAGTTAGTGTCTCTGCCGGACTGCCGTGATGAAGTTGGGCTGGTTTGCTAGTAAGGTTTTTTTTTTGCGGAACCTGTTTTTGTAGGCGAAAGAGTTAGCACAACATCAAGAAATGCAGGAAAGTTAATAAAGTTTTCAGTCATCGAGGTCCTTTGTTGCTTAGTGGAAATTTGGTATTATATCGCCTGTTTGGTTTAAGAACACAAGTGAACAATTTGTTTTCTGTGCTTAACTTGCGTGTCCTCTGTAACAGAAAGATGCGTTTTCAGTCGGGTAGAAAGAGATTTGAAAGAATATAAAATTATTTACAAATATGGCCGCCATCTTTGTAGCTGCAACATACCATGTACATGGCACTCCTTACGCCACATAGGCTGCTGTCCATCGTTATAATACCTATACTACTGTCCACTTTCCACCTACCATCCACTATCTAGCCACTATCAAATCATTATTCACTTTCAAGCCACCATTCACTATCCATCCACCGTCCACCCACAACATTATTCCACTATATTACGTAGTAGTGGTTTCCACTATGACCATTAGTGTTTTTTCATTAGGGCAATTCTAATCAGAGCAAATCAATTGTTAACATTCTCATTATTTCTGTGGCCATCGTGTGTGAGCAGCACGTCACTCATATCACACTGCTTCCTTTAAAAAGACTCTTTATTATTTGCACACTTTTCCGCTTCTCAGGCATTTAAAGCAAAAAGGTCTGATCTTATGTGTCAGAGGGTCTCTTCTTGTTTGAATGTTTAGAAAATGGTCATCGAGTTATGGCATTCAGGCTAAATGAAGTTACCGTTAAAAACTATGTAACTTTGTTTGCTGAGTTTTGTAATCATCTTTATCAAACTGATTTTAATTTACTTAATATGAGTATTATCTACGCATCAGTCACAGAAAGCCAACACATCTGAAAAAGCTCAGCTTCTTTATTAAAGACTGTAAGTAAACTTTTTTAAAAAGTCATCCCCTATCACACCAGTTGAAGAGAGTTAAGTGAAGCCGCCGCTGATATCAGCTGGTCGAAGCACTTTTCTTAAAGAAGTAAAATGATATAGTCAATGCGATCCCAGCTTGCCTGGGCGTAGGCTGCTGCTAAACATCTGAAATATAAAGCAACAACATGAAACATATTTGTGTTAATAAAACCTAAGTATGTTCTGACAACCTCCAAACAAGTTCAAATGTGCTAGCTGTTCTCCACCATCTTGAAACTATTGCTCGAAGTATATAAATAACACTAGCGTAATTGATTTCACAGTTTTTTACTTGCAGTCTAATACCTGTACGCGAGAGGTTTATTGTTTCTTAATCAAAAAGTTGAACCAGTCCTCATGAAGTTCTACTCTATTTTAACAATTTCAAAATCGTTCCTGTCTCTAAAGTTGCGTAGCGGTGCAGAACATAAGCTTGTTAACAACAGCAAAAAAACCTTAACACGCCCGCTATAACAAGAATACGCCGTTGGAATTATAATAACAGAAAACTAACAAAGAAAGCATAAAAAAGAAAGAGAGGAAAAACGACATTCTATCTTAAAGGGCAGAGAGCTTGTGTGCGAAATTGCATATGTTTTTTTTTATAATAAGATGCATTTCATTGAGCTAAGTAACCAAGGCACTAAACCATATTTAGAAATTTAAAGACAGAAAATACCTTTTTTTTTCAAGGCTAGTTGCGCAGTCGTCATCACCCCCTCACGAGACAAGGCGCAATAGTATCCACGCTGCTGTCCATTTTTCATCCGTCTATTCATCCCGAGCGTGGGATACACTCTCTAGAGCTATCTTAAAACGAGGTATTGTTCAGAACTCCTTCTTGGAAAAAAACATTTCGTCACTGCCATAAAATATTGTTGACATAAAATACTGCTTCCTTCAAACTCATTTATTTTCTGTATGACAAAAACACGAGAAAACAATGCTTCATTGCAAAGAAGACTGGGTTAGCGAGGATTGTGTATGTTGCGCCGGCGAACTCCTTCGGGTGGGCTGCTTCCTCTCGGGCATTCTGCATTATTCTGTGAATACATGTACATACTCCGGAATTGTTTGAATCCTCTAATAAGAACAATATCTGCAGCAGGACCTGTTGTTTGCAGTTCATAGGTGCAGTTTTCCATAGCAAGTCTTTTATTTTTTTACGGATGCCCTATTGTTCTGCTTTTCCGTCCCATCTTTCTTCATGTATCTTCGTGCAGTGCTTCATTGCCACGATCATATTCGCATGCCGCTATAAATACCCATCGTTGATACCGCCCAAGTTTATTAGGATAAGATGCCACAGGAAAACCATTTGTTTATCCAGTGCTGCCTTTTGTCTGCTTTTGCGTGATTTATTTTGCTTTCTTGGGCTGAGGATACCAATTGACTCGCGTCCAGAATCCACCCAGTTATATAATTCCAATCATGTTCGTTGCGCGCTTATGTTGCAATATAAATGTTCTGCATTGCTGGAAAAGTGCCATGACCTTGACAGGAAATGTTGACTCTCAAGCTAAGGGCATTGAGTTTGCTTGAAGAGCGCTAATTTCAGCCACGTGAACGGTGCGATCATAGACATTTAGGGAGCTCTGCAGAATACGCTATAGTGCCTCGGCCACTGCTCCGGACAATACTTTAGGCAAACTCGCGCTAGCGTTCAGAATTTAATGCTTCCTAAAAGGAACGGCTGTCTGCTTTTCTAATAAGGGTTAGACAGAACTTTTTTTTTTTACATTTCTGGGGTAACCCAAATGGCCCGAAAGTTAGTCTATCACAGACACACCGAGCTTATGTGCGTTACATCATGCAACTTCACCAGTCTACTTACACCTAATAATATTGCACTCATCTCCTGCGTACAGGCCCTTATCTTAAGAATTCAGTTCTCTTTCTTAATCACTTTTGTTTGTTGTTATATGTTAGGTGTTCTTGTATTTGTCTTATATTCTCAATAAAAGCAGTGCAAAAAGTGACACTTAACTAAACTGGACATGCATCAAGTAGTGCAAGCACAGCTGGCGAAATAATTATGAAATTTGTGGCTAACCTTGTAGCAGCGCATGGCTCACTATGAAATTATTATCAGTCACATGCAGGGAAACTTACCGCATCGGCAACTACATCCGTTGATGTCAGTGCGGCATCTACGGAAATAGCCTTCTGGACATTCGTTGGCTCGGAGATCATCGCAGGGGTTGGAAGTTTCCGCTGTGCGAAATTGAGTGAATACGAAATCAATAAGTGGTATTTTATCAAAGGCTGAAGCTGTAAATGTGACTAATTAGAGAAACGACAACTCGAAGTAAAGCTATCTGGTATACATTAGTCATGCCACCTATAGACGTACAGTGTCGATTTTAGCTTCTAGCGCATTCAAGTGGGAACGACAGCAACCACAAACTCTATTCCCGTCATCTAGTGGCGAGAGAAACAACTGGTCATTGGCGATATGGGACCGGCGGCAAGATTGCAACCTCCTCCCCCTTCCAAGCGATCACGCCCGACCTCTTGCCTATTCACCTTGAAGGCGAGGTGGTTGCTATCTGGCCACTGGCTCCGTATCACCAATGACCAGTTGCTTTGCTTGCCACTAGATGATGGGTATAGAGGATGTGGTTGTCATCGCTCCCACTTGAACGCGCTAGAAGCAGCCGCTGGAGTGCGTGGGCCACGCGTTCACGTGTTCTCGTTCATAAAATTTGACATTGTACATGGCAATGCAGTACTGATCATTATTATTTTGTGGTCTTTTGGCAGAAAACTAGAACGTGACAATCCACTTACATAGCTTAACTATATTGATAATCAGAAAATCAGCTTTTAGAACATACAAGCTGCTGGAAATGCAAAAAAGAACAGCTCTGTAATTAATTCCACACATTATGAATGTGCTCTCGAATTCAAGCAAGTGTTAACGACTTTAAACACTTCTTATTGTCATTTATATCAGATTTTTTATGGCACTTTGTTACGCCTTATTAAATACGCCATTCCCGTTGCACGCCATGTATATAACGTGAGCAATTGTTTTCTTGTATTGGAAAAAAAATTATTATCATTATTTCATCTATACAGCGTTATAACTAAACGCATACGTAAACGTTATTTCGGGTTTTATTGTTTTTAGGCCTCAGAAGTTCACGTTGAAAGTCTTTATAGGAAAAGGTGTAGTGCTCTATTCCATCTCCTTGCCACTCTTCCCGCATACACCATGATTGCCTAATTAAGCTGTGTCCGATGTGCATCAGTGATGGCAACAAAGTTATGGCCCTTAATCTGTAGTACTTCACAATCTTTTAACGGGGATGTTTTCATTAGACACTGAAGTACTGTGTGGGTCTATTTTCTCGGCACCATTCATCACAAGAAAGTTATGTTTAGCTGATCAAGAAGAATAATCAATGGGCATACAAACCTCAAACTAAGAATTCAAATACACACATGCATTGTATATTTGTTGAGCATAAAAGCTTGACACGCGTACTTCCTTGTGAATGACATGTTTTTACCAACGTTACTTGAATATGCGTCCACGAATAAGACAAATAGCAGCTGCGTACACAGGCAGGGGTTCCTGCTCAAATAAACTCTATTCTGTATAATGTAAAGGATAACAATACAATATACAAGTTTTTTTGGAAACGATTTAGCTAAAGGTCTCTGCTTACCACATGTACAAGAGCAAGTTCCTTCTAATTCGAAGCAGGAAAATTTCTGCCCTTCAGGGCAGGGTGTAGAGCAGTCATTTCTACCTGTAATTGCAAAGGACAAGGCTACGTCACTAACGTCACTGCTTCAAATTTAAAAGCAGCCGCCTCCCTATGTTTAACCTAGAAGGAGGGTGTTATGTACAGGCAATGGGTCGAGTTGCATTTTGCATTAAAAAAGGAGGTGAAGGTTTGTCTCTAAGCCTCCGACTAACGTTACTTAGCCTCTGCTAAATTTCTCACGATCGCGTTAGGGAAAAGCAACTGCATATATATGTACTATAACTATAGGCGCGGGTCACAGCTAAGTTGGTCCAACGTTGAAAAAACGAACAAAAAGGCTAAGTACATCTAAAATATTTTTACTCATTGCATTGTACCCACAATATTGGACGCATTTACGTGCAGCTTTTTTTTTCTTATCAGCAAATAGTAATTTACCGAGAATTTTATTTAGCTCAATTTCAGATAGAAAATGGCACCCTTACATGTTGACTATAAAATTTAAAGCATCGCAAATACCTTGTGAAAAAATTGTTCATACTATACTGATGGCTTTAGAGATAACAAAAAAAGAAAAGCCCACAAAACTCGTAAAGGCCGAAATTAATGTTCGCTCACCCACCGCTTCTCGGGTGCTAGAGAGCCAACTTTGCAGGATATGAGGCTTCTTTCACTTATAGCGGCTTTGTGCAGGATATCCTACCGTAGGATGGCTTTGACAGACTTCGTTATCTGATTGGCTGTCACACCAGCGTTGGCATCTGTTGACGCAACAATGCTGCTTTATCCAGCACTGATCAAAGCTTGAACCTTCGACCCACTCCTATCTACAAAGTGAGCTCCCCAGCTTCCCTCCCCGCCTTCTTTCCGGTTGTCTCGGACACCGGAGTGCACAGCGCTTATCGGTACATTTTTCAGCTGCGACCACGATTAGGTGTGATTATCAGGGGAGGTATTCTTGGTGTGCATATCCAATGGCCATGTCGATTTCCGGTGAACCGAAATCAGTTATTCAAAGAGCAGGCTAGTCATGACGCCGTTATGCCCTTGACTACGTCGACGCCCCAAACATTCACAGGAAATTCACCGCTACACAGTGTACAAAACCAGCAAAAGTGCCTGGAACCGTACAGTTTCCTACAGTCTGTAGCAGACATAATTTGTTGGGATCCTTCAGTCGGCATGGTAATATTGAGAAGTGTACTGCCATGCTTTGCCTTAGCGCTTGCGGTCTTCTAAAGCACTTGTGGCTTTATATAATGTTGCGTTTTGGTTTAGTTTCAAATAAAAGAATGAATCAGGACCATTGAGAACTTACTGAGCCGATTTGAACTGGTGAGTCTAAAAGAGCTGAATTCGGAAAGGAAAACTGCTTAACATTCGTTAGACTTGCTATTTGCAGAAAGCGACCCCAGGCAACACAATTGAGCCTTATTCTAGCCGAAAAAACAAAGCGTAGACAAATCCGGGTAATCCCCATTAATTCCCACGCTGGCTGAAGCGCCATTCATTGGAGCTCGCATAGACACTGTGGCTGGAGTTCCATATATTCTATGCTACAAACGCCCGCACAACCACCGCACCGAAAGGGAAGCCAAGACAGGGTATAGACATTTGGGGTGGTGTGACTGGTGGCCTGCATTACGTCGTCATTTATAAGAGAAAGAGGGAAAGAAAGAGAGCCTTTATTAACGGAAAAGGGTTTGTGTCAATTGGCTCAGCTAGGCCCGCGAGCCCCATCTAGCAGTGATGGCTGTTAGTAGTCCAAAACGCTACATGAAACTGCCCCTCTGCGCGCCCTGTTAATCGAACTTATCTGATCGCCAATCTTATCATTAGCATAGAACACATCCTACCACTCGACACTCGCTTGTTCAATGACGGACGGGCCACGATTGATCCGGCAGATTCTCGTAGTGTGTATATGTGAGGGTTTCTCAGAGGACAGCGAGCAGCACGCAGAGTTCTCTATTCAGCACACCTCATTTAGAGAATTCACGTTTGGACATTTGCCGATCTGTTTTCAGCGCTAGCTAACAGCTAGCTCCCTCATTTGAAGACTTCTTGTGCTGGAGGGAGTAGAACTTACTTGCCAATATAGAGTTACCAATTTAAGTGCTAGCAGGAAGAGTGGCCGAATTTCGTTTTATACGCTAGAGACCCGCGTTCTCGCTGGGTATACACATGGTTTTTCTTCTTGTTTATTTATTACTTTTGAATTGATCTTCTTTTCTTTCGTTTTCTAATATGAACACAAGGGTGTGCATTGCTGTGCCTTGAAAATTAAGACGTGATATGAAAAAAATACAAGAATTAAGTTTGACCAGGAACGTAAATAATTTTAACCCATGACAGAGCAATCAAAACAAAAAAAGAAAGCAAGTATGTTCTGTGGGATTTTTATTGAATACAAGGCTCAGACGCACACATTGAGCAAATTCAGAAACGTCTTGTGAAGTCGTCACGGATATGAGATGTGTGTGCACACACTCGTTGGCTGTATTTCTTCTGCAGGGGGCTGGGTCTTATGTTCTTTTTGCTTTGAAGAACAATGGAATTTGTGCGCAAGCCTTCTTGGCGTGGTTACGTTTTGAGCTAGAGTTCTCGAATTTTATCTAAAAACACGCGGGCGTGCAGCGCCACATCAACAAAGAAATATCGGATGCCACAGTTCACTTCTGTTAAACTCCTTATCAAGGCGCCTTGTATTTTCGGTCGAGGCCAAATTTCTTTTATTTTCCTTGATACTTCGTGTTACTTCTTGGGCAATGTTTAAACACTGAAGCAGGAAATGTAATCTGTAGCTGTGACTCGAACCGAAGTAGTTTCTGTGGCAAGCTAGCACACTACCTCTCCAGCATTTCAGTGCAATTGTGCGAGGCTCCTAAGCGACTATATATTGCCGGCTAGGGATCGCGGTACCACATCTGCCTTGACCCTTTTTCACTTCACCTTTAAAACCTCATTCGACGCTTTTCCATGGTGCTAGCACTCTCTTCTATCAGCGTTGAAAGGAGCACAGACAAAATGTAAGAAATCACATGAACTTGACTAGTCCGAAATTGTTTCCATCCTTCACAGCTTGAATGGGCAATGCTTTCCACCCTTCTCAGTTTCATTAGGTAGGTGACCGCAATAAACCTTCCTCGAGGGCTAACTTTATCCTAAAATCAGAGTTTATGCGTAGTCTCAGAAATCAGCGTGGCCAAAAGCGGATCTCGAGAGGCTCTGTTTATTGCGCTGAAGCGCATTCTGTCCATCTCATTGGTGTCGCAAGCTTCGCGATGACAAAATCATGTAGGAGTAAGAACAGTTATCAGAGGTGTGCTTGCCGCCGAGCACCAGCCTTTAAGCGGCAATGGAATCGAACAATGCTTTAGATAGACGAATCGATCATTGTTACCTTGTTCTATGCAGCGGTAAACTAATGAAAATAAGTCTATCAAAATCCGTTTGCAAACACCTGAGCAGATATACGTACCTGTATTGTTTGTATTGTTTGTGAGGCTTTACTTGATACTTGGCAAACAATAGCCAAATACTATTGATAACCAATAAATGACCGATTAAGGAGTTACTCGGCATGGTTTAGACAGTACAATTTTAGATGATAAAATATATAATTGCTAATTAGGTATGATAAAGTGCACACGAGCTGTATGCGACGCGTCATGCAGTTGGTCAGATATGCCGAGGAGGAGGAGGAGGAGGAAAAAACCTTTATTGATGCTGGCTGTGCCAGATAGCCCTTATCCTCACCGGGCTGGTTGACATCCCTAAAGATTGTAGTTTGTTTTCCGTGGATAGCTGAGACTCGCTGTGTGCAGTAGTATGAGCCCTAAGGCCTAGACCTTGACCGCCAGATTTTGCTCGCCATGCTAAATGAATGAAAAGCATGGCTCAACAGGCCCAGCCTGCTTTTGGCGTAGAGTTGGGGCCTAAATTATCCGTTGTTATTGTTTAGAGACATAAGAACGCATTTGAAAAAAGTAAGATGTTTTCGTGTCCCATCCACCGAGCTACTCCATTTCGCACTTGTTTCGGCATAGGTAGGATATTGTATGACATATTCAATCATTATTGGGCGCATTACAACTCAAACCTATTTGCTTGGCACGGTGAAACAATGACTGAGACAAAGCATCAAAATGGTGCAGCCCTTTCGCGATGGCGAAGACGGATATCCATATTCAGCTGATATTGTTTGTAACTCCACGTGCCTATCGGCGCACATTATCAAAAAAACTTTTATGTATTTCGTGAATTGAGAATGTTCATTCTTTAACCAGGAACAGAACAAGCATAACCACGCACTCCTATGCAAGATAACCAGCGTGAAAAAAAAGATTATATATGGCGCTGAAATTCACAAGCTTTAGTTCTCAAAGAAAGAAACAATACACCGTCTTATTTCAGAACAATCGAGTGTTCAATTATTACTAGGAGAAAATCCTTGTTTTAAACACACACGTTTGTTTGAATGAGAATATAATCTGAGAAATGTAATAGGCTATACTCACAAAGACAACACACATTTGTGAGTAAATTATACAAGTGTAATTTGTAGTTTTTATGGTAGCAAAAACTACAGTGCTCCTCGGCGCATAACGATCAGTTGTTCGTGAAAGTTTGCACTCCTCTGTTTTAAATAGTTAATCAAACGTAATGTCCCGCTTTGTGATGTTTCTACTTCTGGTTCCTTAAAAGTTTAATTTCATGGCGCAACATACCGCCATTCACAGGCATGATATGTTGATATATAGGCCTTGGTTTAGTCTGCATAGGTCTGTTTTTGGTTGCTATCCAAATGTGTCCTTGACATTCAAGCACTTGCCTGAAGTTGTGGTGATAAGGAGTCCGAGGAGAAAGAAGCTGTAAGCAAGCATAGCCGCCTTCATGCCTATCTGCAAATATAGTACTAATATTAGAGGAACCCAAATTGGTGTGGTCACTTTTGTGCAACGCAAATACTATATAATATCGAAACGCCTCACACAGAAATTGTTAAGCCAGCAAGCGTTCATGCAAATTGGTATTTCTAGACT